TTTCCTGGTGACCATCTCTGGCCAGAAACTCTTTGTGGTGAAGCGGCAGAACAACGTCCGGGAGCCCGTGATGGCCTGACTGCGCTGGTGGGGGTGGGGGTGGGGGGCAGACCCCCACCCACCCCCGCTCCCAGGCTCTGCAGCCGCCGGCAGAAGAAGAGAGTGCAGAGTGCCTGTGCTGCTTGTGTTTGAAGGGCTCGCTTGGGCACGGTGTATGTACTGCTAAAGGTTTTGTCTATAAAGGGGTAGACTTATCTGTGTTGCAAGAAAATAATTTTTTTAAAAAAAATTGTCACCCTGTGCTAGCTGACCTGTAGGTTGCCTAGGCCAGGGTCTCAAGCGCATAGGGCCTGGGAGCAACTGGGTGCTGTTTTCCGCCCCAGAGGGAAAGGCATCCCCTGGAGGTTTTGGAAACAGCCTCTCTGCCAGGCCTCCCCCTCAGCCCTGCAGCGTCTGTGGGGAACACAGCAGAGATGAGGACAGCGGGTGGGGTGGGGTGGGGGGAGCCAGAGGAGCCAGGCTAACCCTAACCCAATAGATGAGTTACTTTTCTTTGTATTTTGAGTCGAAACTAATAATTGTTAATTGGGTTCACCTGTGTCGTTTATAATGTTCATAATTCCAGTACCTGCCACTACATATTAGTGGCCTGGCCCAACAAACTGACATTTATGTCGGATCCAGCCTTTGTAACAACAAATGAGTTTGACACCTCTGCATTAGAGGGCACCACCTTTGGTTCCATTCCGAAACCGCTACAGGGGCTGCAGAACCTGAACTCTTGAGTCTCACTGTCCTCCGTGCATAAAGAATCCTGAAATTCTGCCACAAACCACGGCTGGCTGTGCCGGGGCAGGGGGACGTACCAGTTGTCAGTGTTCAGAGAAGAAAAGCACCTGCGCTTTCCAACCTGGCACGGGGGGGCTGCCCCTCGATTCCTCACTGCAACTGCGTCCTTAGAGGTATCTTCACAGCATGCAATTCCTGTACAAACACACAGGACTAACCCCGAACCTTCCCACATGATGAACAGAAAGGGGCAGTATGTGTGACCCACACACGTATACGGCTGGAGGAGGGAATGGCCTGAGGTGCTTCTGTGCCTGGATTTGCCTATCGGGAAATGACCCTGTGGTCCCCCACTCTCCGTCACCATTGAGTTACAGGGAGGAGGTCAGTCAGCCCTTGCGGAGATTAACTCAGCCCTCCAGGACAGCCTAGATTCGGAATTGCCCATCGAACACTGTCTTTGGGAGGAAATGTGCTTGACCTCCACTGCTGCTGGCCCGCCCCCCCAGAGACTTCCACACACTCGGCAGTCCAGATGACAAGACTGTGAAGTTTATTCACACACAGAAATAGATTTGGAGCGGCTTCTGAGGCAAATAAAAAATATATAAATAATAAAAATTAAATAAAGTGCAGTTGGGAGGGGGAGCGCTTTGGCCTGAGATGGCAAGGGCCCCTGGCCAGCCCCTCCCTGGGCTACGGAGGGGAGCAGCCAGCTGCCTTAACTGCTCTCCCCCATAGAAAACCTGTCCCTTTTCCAGTAGTACAAAGTGGCACAATTCTCAGTGTGGCAGCCCAGCCTCTAAGATGCCCTTGACCAGCAGGGGGTGGCACAATGATCCAGTCTCAACTCCCACCACCACCACCTGCTTCTTGCAGTAGCTGCCATGCAGAGGGGGGGGGGCGGGGGCTGCCCCTTGGCTTTATACTTTGGAATGAGCGTGGCCTCTCTTGCGTGGCCAAGGAGAATGGGGAGCAGCACCCGGAAGGGAGGGAGCGAAGGACGGGTGGCTTCCTTTCGCTCCCAGCCGGAACCCCAAAAGAACGGAGGAAACGGAGTGGAATAAACGGGGGGGGGGAGTGGCACAGCTGGGGTGAAGTCAGGATGAGGACCGG